CTCGGCGATGCGGAGTTGGGGGCGCTAGGCCGGGGAGTGTCCACGGGCGCCCGGATTCCCCCTTCAACCCGCCCAGAAGTAACTTTTAACTCTGATCGGTCTTGAAACTCGAATGCTTAAAGGCCGTCTTCGGTGAACAGTGATTACCCACTGCTTATTTTAGGAGAAAGAGGGATCCGCTGGCCCGCTCTCTGGAGTCCCGGGGCCAGGCTGGGGACCAGAGCCAAGCTTCAGGGAGAAGTGGCAGGTGCCCCGGGAGGGGAGCCTTCCAAATTCAGTTCAAGGGGAGAGCGAGGCGTTTGTTATGCAAGGAAGACAGAAAACAGGGCAGGTGTTTGTGTGTGTGGTTTTGCTTTTTTCTCCTGAAAACTTTTGTTGGTGTGTGTGTGTGTGTGTGTGTGTGTGTGTGTGTGAATGAGAGGGGGGTTCTTCTGACAAAGGAGGAAAAGAAAATGTCACTTTGACCCAAGCAATATAAACTTTCTTTACAGAAACAGTGCCACATAATGCCAGTACGTCTTGATCTAATTTTAATGAAGGATTGAAAATAGCTACTGTGTTCAGTGTCACTGATGCCAAGGCAGCTCACTTGCATAATCTTCTTTGTTGGGATGTGTTAGTGGCATGTATAATTTTGATAAATAATTAATGGTAAAAGTTTGGCCTGGCCTTGTTGAAATTGTTGTCATTGCAAATTGTTTTGCAAAATAATGAAGCATTAACTTGTGGTAATCATGAAAGCTTTCATTTTTCCATAAAAAGTGAAATCAAACATTTTGCATGGACCAAGTTCTCCTAAATATTGTGTGTACACTTTGTGGGAAGTTGCTTCATGAGAGTGCCCTCTTAGACAGTGGGTTCTCCACTGAACATTTTCTCTACCCATGGAACTTAAAGCAACAAAAACTGATTTAGAAACTACAAGTGTATACATACAGAAATTAAACATGTTTGCAAACTAAAATACCCAGTGCTCAGATTAAAACAATTAAAAATTCATCTTTTCTCTCCTTTAACAGAATTATCGTTATGCTTTAGTGGAAAGAAAGAAAAAGTCCAAGAAAGGACTTGCAGGGAAAAAAAGTGAGCTTAATTCTACTATCTAGCCTGAAAGTTTATAGTTTAAACTAGGAACACTCATTTGGAAAAAGACAAAGACAACTGGTAAGGTTTCTAGGAGAAAGATGGCGATATTGATTTAACATAATACATTTCATGACCTAGTTTTATTTGAAGAACATGAGCCTCTGAAAAGGTGTGTTTGTTAAATAATCAGTAGCTGTTTGCATTGTGATTGAATGTCTAATTAAACACCCTAATCACAACCATAATATTTCACTTGAGAGCTGTCTGATTTTTAAATTTGTTTTTAAAATGGCATGAAAGAAACCTTTTGGTTCAGTTGTAGGAAGGAACGAGTTCCTTTTAAAATCACCTAGATGTGCAGTGAGGAAAAGCTATGTACAATTTTACACCAGGTGCAAATTAAGCACTGGAAATAGCATCTTGCCAAGGCCTTCACTGTAGACAAGTGCTGTGTAGGCCTACACTGTGCAGTGTGCAGTCCTGCAGGGGGAACTGCAGTGAGAAATGCTGTTTTTCCTGGGGGGGCTTATGTAAAAGTCCATTTGGTGACATGACAATGCCAAGGCCTCAACATTTGTGAACCTGCAAACTTCCAGAAAGCGACTGCCACACTTAAAAGTGACCACTCACCCCAGAGTCTGGCATTGACGTTATTATCCCTAGAGAGTCTGTTCTCAGATTTGCTAGTTGGGCAGCCTTGTAAGAGTTTGGAGCAGCATTATCTCGAGATGAGGTCGGTCCTTAGAACTGTATCAAAATCACCTGTAGTATTTGCGAGACTTCAGATTCCCTGCCACCCAGCCTTAGTCTGCATGAGCAGAACTTAAATTCGAATTCTGCAGCTCCTTCAAAAGTAAGTTATCACGCTCGATTTTAAGAACCCAAGTTAGAGTTTTCTTGTCAGAGAGTGATGATAATGACAAGTGTACCTTTTTTCTAGGAACCTTTTAAGAAAGGTTCCAGACATTTTCTTCTCTAATTTCTTCCCTCACACTAGCCCTCTTGGCCTCAGCTTTTAGCTGGGTGATCAGGAACTCCTGAACTGCTTCTGCAGGTAAACCAAGATACCAGCTGTAGCAACTTTAGGCTGCTTTAGGGCACAAGGCCCAACAGGCTAGCGTTCACATACCTCCTTCTCTTGGGGTATTTGTGCCACCCTCTCAGCTTGTGGGTGATTTCGGGCTTGGCAAACCTAGTCTCCTCCCCCTCTTCAAGGAGGGAGATCAGGTTTCTAGCAAAGGATTGAGAATGAACCCTGAGGGACAGGCAGCCTGAAGGAGAGAACACAGCAAGAAGGCTACATGGGAAGCTGCCCTTTTCACTCCTCTTAAACACTCTCTCTCAGATCTCAGTCCTAAAGCTAATAATTTGGAAGTCAAGAGTGTGGTTACTCCCAGACCCCCTGCTTTTGCATTGTCAAAACTATCTTCAAACTCAGATAAGGACTCCTGTGACCTCTCTGTCCATAAAATCCCCCAAATTCCCATTTATTGATGGGGAGAGTATGAAAGAAAGTTTCAAAGCATAAGTCAAGGAGTCTGGCAGACCTGATTCCAGTCCTAAATTTAACATTTACTTATTTGGTGACCTTGAGCTGCATCTTTGACCCCCTGACCTCACTGTACTTACTTTAAAAATGAGGTTAACAGTACGTGTTTCAGAAGAGCTATTTTGGAAATTATATCGGGTTGTAATTTCAAATACCATGAGCTAGCAACTGTTGTACAGTAGATAGACGATCTCTGTAGCTTTAAATTTATTGTAATAACTTCTCAAATTTCTTTTTTAGCCCTGGAGAGTTGCTGTAGAAGAAGGGGGAAAGGAAGACTCTGCTGGAGGAGATCAGTAGCACTGGACACAATGGAAGTTCAGGTTTCAAAATGGTAATTGTTGAGCAGTCAGGAAAAGACTAGGAGAAACATGTGCTTGTGATACCAGTTAATGAGTTGCATTTCATGGCATAGCTCAGGTGCGGTACCTTTACCCTCTTCCCTTTTCAACCACCTTTGCCAGCTCACTTTGAGAGGCACTGATTATGTGGTCGGTTAGAAGTTTTAATCCTGGTTTTCAACTTTAGTGTCACTGATCCTCAGCCATCTAGAGTTTAAGAATGGTTTACTGTCTCTCCCCTTAGTACCTGGTTTTGGGGATCATTGAGATTTCTATCTATGATCCTATAGGAATAGATTCAATTCTAGATGTGCTTTTTCTGAAGATTTATACTCTTTATTTCCCATCAGCTCACCTGTTCCATACAGCAGCCCAGTGAAGTATTATGAATATTACTGGAGATTTTCCTATGAAGCACCTCAAATCCTCTCTTTCCCCTCTAGTCTCTTACACACCTATTGCTAGGCTAGTCTTTGCTTTCATCATGGCAGTTTTCTAAAATCAAAATCCTTTAATCAAATTGAATCTCTCCCATCTGATTTTTAGATTACTTTTAAAAACTCCAGTGTTGGGGTGGGGATTTAGCTCAGTGGCACTGTACCTGCCTTGCAAGCAAAATGTCCTGAGTTTGAATCCCAGTATCAAGAAAAAAAAAAAATCCAATGTCCAGTCATACTGGAAATGCTGCCTCTCCGTAGTTTCCAGAACAAGTACGACAGCTTAGCTCATTAGTGACATTTTCTCTTGAACCATCCATGTTCTACTTGTTCTTCAATTTCCTGATCCTCCTTGGAACTTCCCTAAATGGTTAACCTCTTAAGGATCTCACTTGGCTCTGAATTTCTGTGGCAGCCCCGGCTCTTTGGTCATTTATAACCTACTTGTAAAATCTTTCTAAAAGGTAGAACTCTTTAAGGTACAATGCTAACATTTAGAGATGCTTAACCCCTCAAAGTATTTGTTACAGTGAAGAAACCGTGTTTTTAATATTTCTGTCAAGTTGCTATGGGAGTCCTGTGTCAGGTTGCTGTACCCGCCTGATTCTCCAGCTCTGATCTGGGAGTGGGAAGGACTGGCCAGCTGGTCTTGACAGCCTCGTCTCATTCTGAAGTTCTAGGCCATCTTGGCCTTGCTTAAGGGGAGTGGGACTGGGGCTTTCGCAGTGTGCTTCAGTGAAAGTATCGGCACAGACATTCCATATTGTCAGCACACATTCTCTCCTGGAGACTTCTAAGGCTAAATTTGGCATTTTTGTAAAGTTTTTGGCAAGGTTTTTAACCACAAGAATTGGGGGAAGATCAATAGGAGGCAAAATTAGTACGAAGACAGTTTGTATTGGGAACAGTAAGGCATCATAGACCCTAGAAATGACTTCCTATAGTAGAATAAATAGGGCAAATGATTGAATAAGCCTTAATCTTAAGCAATTCTGATCTGTAGTTGTCTCTCAGTGTTTGCAGGGGGTTGATCCCGGGATCCACCCTCCTATGAATGTTCAAGTCCTTCATAGAAAGGGGCAGAGTATTTGCCTATAAGCTAGATATATCCTCCTGGATACTTTTATATCATCTCTATTTATTACATTTGCTATCACGTAAATGCTTGTAAATAGTTATATTCTTTAAGGAATAATGACAATCAAAAAGGCTGTACATGTTCTCTGCAAACAGTTTCGTGTGTGTGTGTGTGTGTGTGTGTTCCACTGTTGAGACTCAGATGTGAAAGCCATCTGTATCATGCATTCTACTTTCATTGACTGCTATAAAATAACAAAGTTATATTTTCTTTTTTAAACATTTCATCTCAGAAAACCATGAAGATGTTCACAGCTCTAACGTAGATGCTAAGTGACTTTCTTGGTGAAATGGCGTCAGTGTGCATGTAGGTACACATATTTCACAGGCACATTATGTGTAAATGAAGGATACCCTCAAATTTTGAGAGGCCGTTATACATTGACCAGACTTTAAGAATATCTCTTTAAAGTGTGTTGACATTTAATTGACCTTTGAAATTTCATTCTGTTAATCATACTCAAAGTGCTAAAGCTATGGTTGACTGCTCTGGTGTTTTTACATTCAGTCGTGCTTAGCATATAAATTCTTCAGCATAATTGCTACTTATTTAGTAAAAGTTTCCTTTCTTCTCTGGAAATGTGAATTGTGCTTGTATTTTTGAGTCTTTTTTTTAAAAGTTTGCTTCAGTCTGAATATCATTAGAAGTCTGAATTGAAATGTTTTCCTGTCATTAGTTGCATGGGGTGTGGCTTCTTAATATAGAAGTAATGGAAATTTCTTGCTTAAATGAAGAATACTTTTATTCCTGCAAAAGCTAGAACTCTTTGAGATACAGTGCTAAAATTTAGAGAAGCTTAACACTTCAAAACTATCTGTTTTTCAACATAAACTTATAGAAATCTCTCAATTCCATTACTGTAAATTAAAACTACCAGTGCTAATACTCTTGTTAGACAAGAATTCAAGCAAACTATTTTCATGGAAGGTTATATTTATATTCCTTGAATTCTTGTGAGTAAAATTTTATTTCGTTGTAAATATAGTATTTGTAAAACAACAAAAAAGAGATAAACATGTTTGTTTTTAAAATCTTAACATTTGTACTATTTTCAGCTAGAAAGCATCTGCGAAGTTATTACAAGGTTTCTTGGTCTTAAATTTATGAAATCAGTCTTTGGAAATAATCTTTAATGTACTTATCTGTTTTAGAGGTTTCTAATTTAATATTTCTAATCACCATGGAAATGTTTCTACACTTTTTCCTAAATTTTGACATATATTTACCATTTCTTTGAATTACCTTTGAGACTCCAGATCTATTTTTGAATCTTTTACCTTAACAACAGTTATTAAGTAGGAAAATTAAAATTTAAACCACAGTGTTCATTTTCAGGAGGCAATTTTATACTTTGCTAATATTTAGCTCCATCTTTGAAATGCGTTCTGCTCCATTGTGAACTCTGATGTTATTACAGCATTTACTTATTCACATATAACAAGTATCTTAGCCCCACTGTTGTAGATCTCATCTTATTTTCTCATTAATATTGCCCTATCTTTTCTTTTTCTGCTTTTTTTTTCTGTTCTTATAAGAGCTGTTTCTTTTATTTCATTATAGGCCCATCTCCAAATGAAAAATATATCCTTTTCTCTTCGTCAAACACTTAGCTTCAGATTCGACCCTTTTTAGAATATGCAGTAACATATCTTAAATAATGTCATCTCAATACGTAAATGCTTACTGTGCTGAGTACAAGGGCACCCCAGAATATCAGTGGCAGTTTCCATTTTGTAAACTACAGTTTCAGCTAATAGACTTATTTCTGAGTAATTAGTATCTCGGGACTAGAACTGACTGAATTTACAACTTTAAGCTAAAGTTTAATCTCTTCAGAAATCTTTCGTTAAGTCCAGATAAGTCCTTTGCATGCACGATAGATTAATAAAATCAGTGTATTTGCTATTCTTTTATTGTTTGAAATGTATTTTGTCATTATAAAGAGCTTGTCGTCATTTGGATCTGGGCATATGTCTTCACAGGTGGTTTCTTTTCATTTTATTTAAAAAATTCTTGTATTTTCATGTACCAAATGCTGTCCTAAACACTTTGTAAATTTTAGTTTATTTAATCTTCTGAACTCTATAGTTAGAAATATCTTCATTGTACAATTGAGAAAACTAAGAATTGCACATTTGCCTCACATGCACACCTCCTCCTCAGGTTACAGAGGCAGCGTCACACTCCTTTTCTGCCTGGAGTATGTGTGCTTCATTCTGGAGGTGAGCACCCAGGGAGTGGAAAATTTCTCCCGTCTGTGTTTTGTGACTTGGGTGTGCTGCTTCAAGATGCCACTGGTATCTCAGTAATGTTTGTTTATACTGGATCTTTTTCTCGTAGTCTTTATGGATGGGACTCATAATACAAACAATACTGTTAGCAGAACTGTAGGTACTCAATTGCTATGTTTATTTTATTAGTTAAAAACTGCCAGAGTCCTAGGACTTCTGAGCACTTTTAAAAAATACCAGAGGCAGTTTTTAAGAATAGCTTAGAAACAAAGAAAAAATATGAAGAGTTAAGACATTGCGTGCTTTAGAATGGTAAACAACGTGGTTGATTCTTTCCCCTAATGATTCGAAATAGTTCATTCTCTAAAAGATAAGCGTGTTCTTCTTGTGCAGTATATATGTCCTTCTCTTAATAGTCTCAGTGAAATAAAAGCCTGGCACTTTTGTTCCATAGAATATAAAACTAAAGATGAAATAAGAATTTAGCGAGGATTAGGATTTTTTTTAGATACTCCTAAAATAGTGCCTAATAGTTTTATTGGTCAGATCACTGGCTTGGAAGTACTTATGACTGATTTTTTTATTGTATTGGCACAGATTATGGCCCTTCCAGAAAGGCCAAGATAGGACCAGGGTTTTAGCTCAGCGGCATCGTGCCTGCCTTGAAAACACAAGTTCCTGAGTTCTATCCTCGTTATGGAACGGGGAGGCTGAGATCAGAAAGTCCAAGATCCGGGCTCAATATTACTTTTAAATTTTCTATTAATTCATTTTATGACACTCCTGAAATCTCTTTTATCCTGTTCTCTTAGCAAAGGTAGATTACTCATTAGAGTTTTTTGGTTTTTTTTTTTTTTTTTTTTTTTTTTTTTTTTTTTTTTTTTTTTTTTTTGGTACCAGGATCGAACTCAGGTCCTTGCACTTTCAAAGCAGGCACCGGAACCACTGAGCAAAATCCCCAGAGTTTATGTGAAACCCTCTTTAAACAACAAAATGTTGCTCTAATATAAATGATAAAAGTGTTGATTTGGAGAAAATTTATTTTTTGATAGCTATTCATTCCCCAGATAGAGAAACATAATCTTACCAGGTTTGTTTAGATGTCCTTCAGCAAAATAAAGTAAATTCAGGAGTTTTTCCTCTGACCATTGTAATGCAGTAGCATGGTCTTCAAACATTTGAGAAAT